TTTTGGTTTTTCTCCAGTACCGGGAACCGAACTCACGACCTTGCGCTTGCCAGGCAGGCGCTTTTGCCACTGAGCTAAATCCCCAGCCCGGTTTCCTCCACATTAAGTAGAGTTGAGCTCACAGCAGAGTTCTTCATGATGTCCCAAGACAACAGGCTAGGACTCGAGTTTGCAGTGAGGGGTCCCCCAGGTCTGATCTGAGTTGGTGAAACTCAGCGATGTTTCTGGGGCATCTGTAACTAGGGTCAGCAAACTCTTCCCAGAAAGGACAAGACAGTGAGTATCTTGAGCCTTTCAAAACTTACAGTCTCTGCTCAAAAGCAGCCCCAGGCCCCTCGGAAACAAGTGGACATGGTGGTATTCCAGCCAAACTTCATTCACAAAAGCAGGCAGCAGTCGCACTGGACATCATTTGATGATCCCGATTTATAAAGTGCTAGTGGTAGGGGCCGGGGACATAGCTCAGAGGCATAAGCGCCTGCCTGGCAAGTGCAAGGTCCAGAGTTGGATTCCCGGTACCAAAAAAAAAAGTGCTAGTGGTGGACTAGACAACAACAACAGTGCAAAAGCTGGTCAGCAAGAGAAAGTGGAAGATAGGAACGGTTTCTCTCGAAGGAGCCCCTACCCCCACCCCACACCCACCGCTTCCTGACTCCATGCCTCTGCCTCCCCTGCACCCTGAACCATCTCATCTCACCCCTGTGAGCTTCACTGTACTGTTGCCGGTTCACACGCATGGTCATGACCCTATGTGGTCATGAGCAGCTGGAAGGTAGAGCCCTGCCCCAAGCATTTCTGCACCCCAAACCCCTAGCCCATGGCCCAGCCCAGAACTGGAGCCCAACAGAGCTCACTTTGTTGACTGAGCAAGGAGGTAACTGGGTGGGTGAAGATATGAAGAAGTAAGTCATGGTCAGATGCCAAGAAGAACCATGCATGCACCAGGTGCTTCCAGGAGAAGAGCACCCAGGGCGAGCAAGGTGGGCGGGGCTACTCCCAGAGGTGGGCGTGGCTTTGGTGGAGGTGGGAGGGTCTTTCTCTGGGGGTGGGGCCTGAGCCAGCGCAGCGTTCAAGTCTATCACACCCACCTGCACATCTCACCTGTCATACAACCCCGTTCCTGAGGGTGAGCCATCTGTAGATAGACCCACTGGCCTAGGATTTTGTGGCACACTTGGGCTCCAAAAGCATTATTAATTCATTCCTTTCCTTCATTCTCTCGGGAGACACTTACCCGACACCCATCGTGCACTGGACACCGTCGTCAGTAGGGGGAATGTGGTGAAGATTGACTCAGTGGAGGAAACAAGCGATGAGCAAGTGCACCCCTCTCCGTCCCTGCCCTCTGTCCCAGGATGGTTTCAGAGTTCTGGAAGGGGCTGAAGGGTACAGGGTGACAGTAGGGGGCAAGGCAAGAGCAGACGCCTTCCAGCAGGAAGAGCAGGGCGTGTTTCGGGGGCAAAGAAGAGGTAGGTCTGTCTGGCAGTGAGCGCACCACATCTCAGCACCAGGAAGGTGAAGAGACCCCACCTGGGGTCACCCTGCCCTCTGGCTCACCAGCAGGACTGAGGAGCAGAGCATGGAGAAGGGACCAAGGGGCTGGCTGGCTGGGACAGGAGTCCAGAGCTCCTCTCTGAGCTTGAAGGCAGCAGGCTCGTGTGCTCCAGACCCTGCAGCCCAGCCTCCAGCAGTGTCCGCACCACCTGGAGGGCCAGCAGGAGGAGGATCCTCCATTAACACTTGAAGGATGAATGAATGAATGAATGAATGAATGAATGACTAGGCACTCCCATTCCTCGCCTCTGAGTATTTGAGGAGCCCCACAGCTTGTCCCGACTCACAGAGCTCTATTTTTCCCACAGTGGAGTGACCGTGATCGGTGAGTGAGGTGACACCTGATCCCCTGTCACCTCCCTGGGTCACTGTGACAGCCAGGCTGGTGCTCACTCAGAAATGGGCAGTGACTACGGTGTGTCCCCACGTAGTGCTGGGGGCCATGGGACAGGCCTGCTGTAGTGGCCTCTGTCCTCACCCTCATACACAGAACATGAGGAGCATGACAAGGTGTGGTGCTGATGACGGGTGTGTCCCACGTGAAGTTGTGCATGAGCACACGAGTCTGTGCTAGGCTCTGTGTCTCCTGGTACCTATGTACCACACATCTAAGTGTGTGTCTGAGTGTGTCTGCACACAAGGGCTGGAGGGGGGATCCTCGCACGGTGTGTATGTCTCTGTTGTGCCTAGGGGCGGGGAACTGGTGTGTCTTAATGGTTACAGTGTAATCTGAAGCAGGAACATAAGTCAAAAGAATCTGGCTCCCTTCTGAGGTCATGTGTTAGACACCTACTGTGTGCTAGACCCCAAACCTACTGTGCTCTGGCCACTATAACCACAACTTCTGCTGGGAGAGGGGAAGAAACTGGTGCCCAAGATCTCACAAACACACACACACACACACACACACACACACACACACACACGGCTACACTTTCCCAGGGTTGGAACCGAACAGAAATGGGGAGGGGGAGAGGGTCCAGGCACCCCCACCCTCACAAAAGAGGTACCTGACTACACCTGGAGTGGACACCTTCCCAGGGACCCTTGCCCCACCTGAGAGCAAGAACAGGCCACCAAAGAAGCGGGGTTTCCCTGGAGAAGCAGCCAGCCGGGAACGGACACCCATCAAGGCAGGCAAGAGCAGCGGAGTCAGGAGGCCCTCGGGAGGCTTATTGGAGGGATGCATTTACCCCCAGTAGGGGGCTGCTGGGATTCAAACCCAGCTCTGTCCCTTCCCGAATAACCTCCCTGGGCCTCGGTTTCCCTGCAATGAGTCAATGACCACTGTGATCTTTCCAGGGTCACCATGAGGATTAGCTGAGTTGGGCTCAGGCCGCTCTTCACATCGGCCAGGAGCGCCTGGAGCACCTGTAGGCATCAGCCACGACTGTTGCTGAGCCATGCGCGGTGTGCAACACGGAAGTGCAAAGGATAGAGAGCGGGGTGGGAGGCGGCAGGAAGACGAGGCCTCGCTCTACAGCAGGAGGCCACTGGGCCTTAGAGCAGCGATGTGGCAGTGGCGCCGGCTGCAGGTGTACGGAGAACAACCCAGAGGAGCAGAAAGCAGTGCCAGGGTCTGAGGTTGGCAGGGCTGGGGCAGGGAGCCAGGCCCGTAGGCCTCAGCTTTCTTCTAAGATGAGAAGCCCCACAGGGATGGAATCCAATATTCCCCAAACCTAAAGACCACCACTGTTGACTTCTCTGACTTCACTTTCTT